CCCCAAAACCCCAAAACCCCAAAACCCCAAAACCCCAAAACCCCAAAACCCCATGAAGAAAAGAGGAGTTTGAATTGGTTTCATATAATAATTTTAAATATAAATATGGCTAAGTCAGGCAATCCCTTCCTCACATGCTGCTGGTTGACCTTGCTCATTCTTGTTATATCATTGATAGTCTCGATCGTGTTCCTTTATTTTGGACAAGATGAGCTTATTTATCAAAATGATTTCCCCTCTCCTTATGAGGAATACCCAGAAGAGAATCAGGAAGGAAAAAGAAACCCTGGTGAGAAGAATATGCTTTATGAAGATATTACAATTGAGACTGAAGATGATGTCAGATTGGCAGGGTGGTTGATACACCATGGAGCTACAACAAAGGCTCACCCAACTCTTATTTACATGCACCAAAGCTCTGGAAATATTGGTCACCGACTTGCCTGGGCTGAGAATATCTACTTCAATCTCGGATATAATATTGTGCTAGTGGGTTATAGGGGTTATGGACATTCTGAAGGATCACCATCAGAGAAAGGACTCCAGAAAGATTCTAAAGCAATGATTCAGTGGACTTTGGCAAATCCTAAAATTAATCCAAATCAAGTATTCCTCTTCGGTAGCCAACTCGGTGGAGCTGTTGCTACTTATGGAGCTGAATTCTTCGAAAATAAACTGAAAGGATTAATTCTTGAGAATACTTTCTATAATTTTAAAGCTGCTGTTGATGATACTAACTGGCTATTTAGGCTATTGAGACCAATAATTCTTGCAAACTATTGGCCAACTAATGAAGTTATCGCCAGACTAAACATTCCAATGCTATTCATTTCAGGACTTGACTCTGATACTAACGATGACATGCAGCAACTAAGAGATCTCGCAACTAATTCAGCACTCGTGGAGTTCCTCAATGTGCCTAAGGCTGGAAAACAAAACACATGGCGTGTTGGAGGAAGATCATACTTAATGGCAATCGATGAATTTGTAGTCAAAGCAAATGGAATCATCAAACTTCCTGTAGAAGCTCAACCACTTGTTGATTCAATCTAACTCCCATGATTAATAGTGATCAAGGATTCAATTAAAATTAAATGTGAAGGGGTTTTGGGGTTTTGGGGTTTTGGGGTTTTGGGGTTTTGGGG